CAGGCAATGATTTTCCCCCAAATTCTTCCAACTGTTTCCCTCCTACAGATCACCCAAAAGAGTGATGCCAATCACAGCTACAGGGACACAGCTATCCTAGTGTGAATCCATGCTACCACAATCCTAGCCTTTTTTGTAAAGCATCATGCTCATTGACAATGGGTTATTCTTTATATGTTTTGTATATTTGTACACTTGATTGCCTTCTCTTTTGTATTTTTAGAGTCTAAAACTCTGGAAGAGTCCCAGTGATGCTTTGATAATTTACATATTTAATAAGCTTTGGCTGCAGTTGATACACTATTGAAATTGGAAGTCTAACTCTCTTAAAATCAAACTACATATCTGGATGTTTTTAAAAGTGATTGCAATAAATATATTTTCCATACAGGACCAAATAACCTGACAGTCTTTGAAGATAAAGTCTTACCCATTCCTGATGATATCATAAGTCAGGGTTGTGAAGTCATTTTGGTTGGGTGATGCTTTGCATGTGTCCAAAAACAGCTGCAGATCTGAGTCTGAGCTATGAAGATACAGTTGCAGGTATATCTTCTGATTTAATGAAACATAGTAAGGAATATCATAGACTGGATACAGGAAGGACTGGGAGTTATAAAATGTAAGGTTCACATCATATTGTCCATACTGAGTCTCATTGAGCTCCAGAGGATCAAGAGCAACATACATTGTTTCTATCCACGTGTTTTGCAGCATTTTGCAGTTGAAATGCAAGTGAAGATCCCGGTTTCTTTTAATTGGGGTGCTTGAAGTAGTTACCGTGATCAGATTTGAATAAATAATAGTATCAGCACCTGCCTGTTTGAAAAGATTAAAAACCGAAACAATTAACTTAACCCTAAACAAACAAATACATAAATATGAGAGAAGTACCTTCTTAAGAACCTCTAAAAGGAAGTCATCAGCACATTTGTGTCAATGCAGCCCTGTGCTTCTCTACTCAGAAATCCCACTGAGCTCTATGTGAGTTAAGGTTGCATAGGACTGCAGTTCTGATTAGGAGACAATCTTACGCTGTATCATACAGGCAGAGTACAGAGTCGGGGGAGGCTGTGCTTGCTCTTGCCCCTCTTGAAAATGGATCCAAGTGGGCATTTAAGTACAGAAAAGAAATATGCAGTTGTCTCCTATAAAGACTCAGGGAGGGAGGGAGGGCATTCGGAACTACATTACAAATCTCCATACTTCTCTTCTGGTCTGACAGCCATTGTATGGTATGTTGAAGATGACATAATATGGAGTGATCTTTGGTCTGCAGTATGGGTCGGGCAGGTGGGCATCCCATGCTGAGTAGCCGTTGGAGCTGAGGTAGCTTCTGCTAACAACAGCCTGCATATATTCCGGTAAACAAAGCAGAGCTGCAAGTGAAAAATGAAAGTCCCATTAGTGCACTGAAGTACATGAAGCCATGCATTATTCTTGGTGTTATTGGTGTTATAAATGCAAAACCATCAGTAGCTTTTGCACTGTACAGAGTAGCATGGTATGTTTGTATTATATGCACGGTGTACATGTATTATACATACAAATTGAGAAATTACATTTCAGCAATCTGTTCCAGCAATCTGTAATCACTGGGCAATATGGGACATAACCATTCCAGGCCCTTTAATGTACAGCAGCCTCAGACTGCCTGCTTCAGTAGTCTCTCCACTCGATCAAGCCACTTGATTATGTGTCTCTCCTCTAGAACAACTGTCCAGAGCTAAAGCAAATTTAACATTGGCTTCTTGTTTAAACAGGGCATTTTGATGCCCCCCCCCCCATCTTTTGTATCTCCAGACTGACCTATTTCAGCCTCTGATCCTCTGGGATGCAAAAATCTTCACAGAGTCTCTTGAAGTTACTGAAGAAAGCTGCCACATTGTCCCCTTTTATACATCAAGGGAGTGTTTAGCCTGGTACACACAGGATCTCCTTCTGGGTCCTTCAAAGACTGGCAGTTGCTCAGGTCACTCCCCCCTGATCACAAACCTTTGTCCCCAGCAGTCTTGGCTATTCAGCATGTTTTTAAATCCTGTCATTTTCTTACTTGCACCTTTCTCAGTTTCCCCTGAGACTGATCTCAAAGAACTGTGCTTTTCTTTCATAGCTATCCAATCCAACACCAAGGGTTAACAAGAAAAGAAAACCAGTCTATTTCTAGCTAGAGGTAAAGTATACATCAAAGTGCTCACTTATAACTGTCCCTATAGTTCAAGTACCCTAGACTGAGATAACTTTTCCACACATAGTTTCCTTCCAGCCTTTATTATTACTTGTGAGTTGGTCTCCAAATGTTTCTGTTCTCATCTCCAAGCCAAAATTGGACAGCCACAGAGAACTTCAAGCAATGTATGAATGTCTAAGCATCTATGTTAATCAACAATAATGTTGTAAAAGAATGCAGAAGCATTATGCTTACTTGTGTTCTGATCTGCAGGGATAGAATGATAGTTTGCCAAAAATCCTCTTGCTGTCGCACTATGATCACTATGGAATCTGACTGTCATCATGTTGGATGTTGATGTAAAGGTGTGGGAGGAGCCAGA